CAAGTAATGGTCAACTCATCTCTCAAGCCGAATGACAAATTGACTTGCTGCCTAAAAAAATGCACTACGCTGTAAAGAACACACTGCTTAATGCTTTACACTGTTTAATGTTTCTAGATGATCTGTTTATGAAAGATATTTTGTATGAAAAATCCAACTGGTTATTTCCTTCTCATGCTCAGTATTTGTTTTTCTGCTTGCTTGGTAGCCTATGGAGGTATTGTAACAAAACTCCCTTGAGACACCTAGTACTGTACTGTACCTAGTTGACGTAGCTGCTAGGGTACCGAAGCCACTTCGTACACTGCAGGATAAGTGTAAATGTTGCTGCTTCATGATCCTATATTTATTTTTCATCTTTGCATCTCATAAGGAGTTTAGGCTGCAAGTCCCAAACCATTTCTATTAGCATCTGTTGACCTGGGGAAAATGTTAATTCATTAGTTAGGAGTTGTTTTATGTTATTTGTAGTAATCTGAGTGTTTTGTACGGTAAATATTTGAAGCTAACCTGTTTACTTTGTGCTGTTAATAACTGATATTTTAATGTTGAATTGAAGCCATCTTTTTTATTTCAATAAATTTTATATTTAAACAAAATGGAATTTGTTTGGCCTAGAAATGGGGTTTCTATGCTTCAGGATGAACACATAGCACACAATCTGAACTCAATAGCTGTTATACACTGGTGAAGAAAGCATGGGTACGCAGTAGAAATCATCACAGAGTAATTCTGATTGCTTTACTAAAGGAAAAAAAAGCCTTTGATGAGCCAGTTCTCTAAGCATTAATCTTCACAGTTGTATGGCTAGCAGCTTCCACTGATGTGTTACAAGACCACAGGGCACATCTACAGGAGATGTTTACTGTGCAGTAGACTAATTAGCTGCATAGTAAATGTCTAAGCATCTACATGTGCAGGGCTATGAGGCTGAAGTAAACTAATAAACTCCACAGCACAGTGGAGTACAGTACTAGGTAGCACTTGTAAATACAAGTACTATCCTGTTGCAGGGGTACTCTGCAGCAGCACACATGTAGATGCTGCCCTGCCTCGCTGGGGCACGAGGGTTCTTCAGTGTGGGGGTTGCAGTGCATTGGAGCCCCCTTGTGCCCCAGGCAGCCCCTTTGCAGCCTGTTGAGTCAGGTTGGAGCAGACAGTTGGCAGGCTGACCCCCTGGGTCCCATGTCAGCTGGGGCTGCTCCCACCCAGCTCAACATGCTGTGGTCCTGAGTGTATGTGTAAACACAGAGCCCAGGAATAATAAACTTTGGCATGATAAGCACCGGAGTTCATTGTGTCATATTAATATGCACGTATGGATATGCGCCCACAGACAATTTATCATGTAATGGCAGTTCTTCATCATTGGCCTTAGCTTTTGTTATGGCTTTATTTGAACATGACTCTGCACTTTTAAATGTAATTGGGATTTTACTTTTTATTTTGATGGAAGCAGGATTAGGAACCTTTATCAATCTTTCTTTACACTTACAGATCATAGAAGGCCTAACTACAAATCAATGCAGAAATTCAAAACCTGGAGAAAAATCAATGGAAAACTCAGTTCTCTTCTCTTGAGAATTATATTTTATTTTGGCAGCATTAGAAATATTAACACCGCCCCCCCTTGTTGGAAATGGAATGGGAAGTGGGAATGTGATTACAACAAAGAAATAGGGCTTGGGAAACATTTTCTTTGGAGATGGAAGAAACTGAAAAAGAGAGAGTTTGTGAAAAAGGAGAGAGGAAAGGGAACCAAGTTAACAGTTGAAATAAGCACACAGGAAATGACATACAGAGTAGAGTAATGAGACAGAAAGGCAAAACAATGGGAGAAAGAAAGAGGGAAAGAAAGAGAAAGAGAGAAGAAAATGAACAAACCGAATGCAATAGCAGGATATTATCTCCATACAGGGAGAGACAGAGACAAATTAAAGAGGATACATAGCAAAAGGTTTTTTTTCTAAATGCCTGTACATACTGAAGAAGAGAAAGGAAGAAGAATGGAGGAAACTAACTGCTTTGGAAATAAGTTGTACAATGAGAGACTTCTTAGAAAAGTGGTTGCTTTAGACAGTCCCCCGCTTACTCAACAGGTCTTCTCTCTGGGTGCAAACAGAACCATAATTGCTGACTCCAGAGACAAAGACATATTTTTACTGATTTTTACTTATGTTTACACAACAGAAGAGGACTCCTGTTAGGAAAAAAAGCTCCATAAAGCTGTGGCTCCCTTGGGAAATTCGTGCTCAAGGTACATAGCCCCACAATATATGAGGGTATAATACCTGCCTGTCTTTTCATACCAGCCTTGTAATGCAGAAAAAGGCATTTCCCTGAAGAACTGGAAGCAACTTGCTTGGCTGGATTTGGGTAAAAATGAAGGTTCTGAACTCTCCCCTATTGTGTTACAGGAAATACAAAAAAGGGTTCAGGAACTTTCACAGCCTTTCTGTGCCCACATCAAATCCAGGCCTTTGCAAGTATTAAGGACTCAGGAACCTCTGTACTAAATTAAATGTGAGATCAAAGTTTTTGATTCAAAGTACAGTAGCACAAGAAGGGATTTGACATATAAGGAGGGAAGGAGAGACGTGAGGAAGGTTTAAGGTAGGAGGTAATATCTTGCTCAATATATGTTATTTCAGATATAGTTAATGGGTAATTATGAGCTTACTGGAAAACGATGTGGGTGATTAGTTTTGAGAAAAAAAATCAACAATCCTTTTAAAGTGAAAAAAAGACTTAAAATGGCAGAACCCACATTTTGCTTAGACTTTCCAAAACAAATTCATCATCAGCATGACTAAATATGGGAACTTTTAGATTAAAAGGATGCTTTTTTCTTTTATTGAAAAGATATAAATATTCAAAACCAGGATTCAGAACAGAATAGAGCCTTTTATTCAAACTCTCACAAACAGCAGTCCTGTAATGATTTCCACCCTGTCACTAATCTCATCAGAGAGCTGTGCATCTTTTGTGTTCATTTACTCATGCTCACAGGTAAATCCTTTTATAATTGTGGGCAGTGACTTGGGGTGCAGAGAGAGACTACAGAGGTTTGCATGAGCCACATGGGGTTGCTATGGCTGAAAAATGGGTGCTGGCAGCAAGTGGAGGGTAAGCTTCTCCTGCATACCCACACCTGAGTTGCTTTGTGCAGGGCTAGTCCTCTGCAGATATTTCCAACATTCAGAGTTCTTTTAATATTAAAAAAAGGCTCCTTTGTCAGCTTAGTGCCTGAGGAAAATTATTTGATGCCAGAAGCCACCAGTGTGTAGTCTTAAAAATATTTAAGCTTGCTATTGAGTCTTCAGTGAGTACAGGGCAGTTATTATTGGGTAATGTCAATAAAATTAAGGGCACCAGAAATAACACAATAAGATAACACAATGATATACAATGAACACAGAAACATATTTTTGGCTAACTGGCCTTTTTTCTGTTATACCCTACTTAAGAGTTCTTGTTCTCTATCTCCCTCCCATATCTTTCCTCCCTTCTGCCTTTCCCTTTCCATCCCCTACATATTTTTCCATGCTATCATACTTGCTAGCTATTTTATTTTATCCACCCACCCTCCCTTGGATTGCTCCTTCTCTCTTACCAGCTGGAAACAGAAGCTCATTTCCAAGCCTCCTTCATCTCTTTTTCTCTGGCCTCCATTTCTTTGTTCCTGAGATCCCACTCCCGACCTTGGTCAACTTTTCACAAAAGTCTCTTAGTGTTTTCCCTTCTTAGACTCCAGGAGCTCTCTTTTTTTCCCTTCTCTTTGTCAGTAGCTCTTCCTTTTTCAGCAGTCAGCTTTTAAGAAATTTCTTATATGTGAGCATGTCTACATGTTCATTAATGCACAGTAGTTACTTTACATTTAATTTAGTACTTGTATAAGCAAGTACTAAATAAATGTGCAGTAACCAGTTAATGTGCAGAAGTGCCAGTGACCGCCTTTTTAGTGATGCTGCTGCGCAGTAGCGTATTAGCGCTGTCCATGCTTTGATGAGCTACTTCACAGTGTTAGTGGGCTACTGCGCAGTTAGCATCTCACGTAGACGTACCCACTGTATAGGCAACAATTCAAACTGACTTTTGTAATTTTTGGTCGATGGTTGATTTATCTTTTCTTCAGGAGGCTTTTCTCTGTCTTTTTTTATGGGATTTGGGCACAGTACATCATGTTTGTAGCAATCTGAATTTGTAGAGGCTTAGAAAATGGAGAGCTTTCTATTCAAACTCACCTCCATCAGGCAATCACCTCAAGAATTATTTAATTATCTGAGGCCATGTCGTTATGTTGTGAAGTTTAAAAAATGCTTGCACAGGTCTTGACAGGATTTGCTGAAATGTGACTAGTGCAAAGGGACAGCATTTTGAATGGAAATTTCTCTTAGAGTCTAGAGAGGTGCACCTGCAGCTGCATAAGTCTGAATAGTCTAAAATAACAGTGGAGGAACAGGAAGCAGTGTAAAGTGGGCCTAGGTAAAATGCAGGTTTTAAAGATAAGTAGTGAAGATGCAAGGGCCTTCTGATGCCTTCCATAATGCCTTCCAAAATTAACTGAAGCCAGAGAATCTCTTTTGACTTCTACAAATATTTAATAATACTGTAGAAAAATACTGCGTTAAAAACATCAATGTTTCCTCTATTTATAGTCAATTAAGCATTTAATGTATTTCTATTAAAGGCGGTTTTATGAGTATGCATGGAAGTGCAGTGTGTCCTGTCCACAATCAGGTATTAAGACAGAAATCTGGCATTCCACTTTATTAGATACTAAATGTCAGAGCAATTTTTGACAGAAGTGCTGAAAGAGACCAAAACAATTTCCTTCACTGCAACATAATCTAAATTGCATTAAAATATCGACAATCACAATGAGATAACATGCTGCAAAGAGTCAAATTGCACTAAGCCTTTGACAAATGTTATGTATGACAAGTGATCACACTCTGTTCCCAAGGAAGCAAAACATTCAAACAAGTCACATGCACAAAGTGTTTGTGTTCTTGTTCAGAACAAAGCCAGATACCGTGGTGAGAGCTGCAGTGTAATTTCACAAGCAGTAAAAGCACAAGTCTATGCCTACTTCTCTGCTTTGTGCTGGGTCTTTCTCCTCCTATTCCCCTTCACAACTCTTTATTCCATGAGCTTCTGTCACAACAAATATAATGGAATCTGAGCCCAACAAGGTTAGTCATGTATTTTCATTTAATTAATTAATGTTTGTTTTTATTACCTCTTCATTAGATACCTATTCCTGATAAGTGGAACATGAGTGAATATCCCATGAAATGGATTTCAAAACCTTTATAACATTTCCATGATAATCCATTTATGAGAAATATACTAAACTTGTAGCAATTTCCCTCAAAGCACAGTGAGCACTGCTATGATATGCACGCAATCATGAGAAATATTGCAAAAGGCAGCAGAGGCTCCCATGACTAACATATTAACAGAAGGAGACTTCTTCAACCTATTTTGACTTCCAAAACAATAATTACTCTCCTTAAAAAGAAAAGACTTAAATTCAGGAAAGTCTAGTGAGAGACATAAGTCACACTGATACAGTTCCAAACAGAAATTAAGGAAAGCAATGGCACCTTTCACTGAGAGAGTATGCAGGTATATACACAGCATTGCTATCAGTGTTAATTTGTGAGCCAGGTTATAGATAGGTAAGGAAAAAGTGGAACAAAGTTAGAAAATGCATCCTCTGGAAAGCTCAATATACTGCCCCTGGAACTCAGACAGCCTAAAGATTTCTTTGCAGACCAGCAAGAGGTGACAAGAACTACAAATGACATTCACCAAACACATGCCTGTATTGTAATCCCTTTCCTCATCTGCCTAGCTCAAAATCATTCTTACCCTTCTCACTCAAAGGATAAAGACAATACAGAAAGTCAACCCTTTCTGTCATACTAGTTCAAAGGCTGGGGGCTTCTTCTTTGGTTATTTTTGTTTCAAAGAAAGATATGGCTGCTATAATATAGAAGTCAATACAATATTATCTTTGGAGATCAATGCATCTGAATATGATCAAAATTATATTGAATTTTTATTCCCACCCCTCTCCCATTTCCTAAAACATTTTAAGTCATACAAGGCACAAACAGTTAACATGTTTCAGCAAGGTTATCCCTCTTCCTTGCCCTTTCTCTTTTGGCCCTGGGTTAATGATGCTTTGTGAGTTCAGGTGATGACGGTCGGTCCCTTACGTCCCGTCCTTTCATGGATCTGAGATATTTTCAGTGCGATTGCTATGAGAGGACTCAGCACAGCCTAGAAGAGATGAAACACAAATAAACTATGTTAAGGAGAAAAGTTGAGAAACACATGATTTTAGATACCTGTTATTAATTTTTCTGTCTTGGGAACAGCATTAAGGAACACCCTGTGAAACTTTATACTTCAAATACAGTAAGTATGCAGAAAGAACAGATACCAGCTATCATATTGATAATGTCAAAACACAAGAGTAATTGTGGATTTGTTTGTGAAAATTGCAATACAAAACCACCTAGAGTCACAAACTTGGAATAATTTTTGGGCGTAGAGTTGAAACTATATAAATGGTATTTTCACACACTGCATGGTTCACCTCTAGAATTCAGTGCGTCAAAATACTGAAGCAAGGAACTTAGCAAGACTCATCAAAATATTCATATGGCTAAAATCACATGCAACTGTACCAGACACAACATTTAGAAAGACTATGAAATCTCAATCGCCTTCAGGTGATGAAACATGATAAAATATACCCAGCATCTGTCTATATGTGAGGCCAGAAAAGGAGGATGCAGATACGCAACAGCACTATTGCAATTCAACTGAAAAAAGGAAAATGTCAATATTGTTAATTGGTAGTTCCTGGTATTTTCTCTCAGTTCACTGAAGGACAAGAAAAGAAAAAGGGGCAGAGATGAGGTCTGTATTGGAACCTCATTTGGGAATTTGCAGACATTATACTTTTAGATGATCAGCACAATATGCTAAAATCCTGGCTTTCAAAACTTTTTTTCCTTCTAACTTACCTGAACTTTGGATTTTTTAAGGGGTGGGGAGTTTCTAATTCTTGGTGATTTTTGTTTTAAAATTATCAATGTTCCTATACAGCTTACATTCAAACGATCTGTTTATAACTTTAATAATGGTATCACGTTGTCGCTGTGCCTGCAGCCTTGGAGCTTGCATGTCAACAAGGTTTTTTGTATAGATTGCTAAATGAAAGGAATAGAGCCAAACTAGTTATGTACACATTGTGATGATGTAACACTATTTCAGATTTGCTGTGTCATTGGTTGCAACAGAATTTATGGTCAGGGTTTGTTTTTCAGAACCTCATTAACTGACACATCACAGTTCAAAAAACTCTTCATGGCTAAGGACAGAAGTTACACATAAACCAGTTTAAGTGACCAGAAACTGGTTTAAACCTGTAACAGAACATAGGTTCAGTGCACATAAACCAGAAGTTCAAAATGGCTGAAACTGGTTTAAGATAAACCTGGTTGAATGTAGTATCAGACTTAACTGATCTGAGTCAAATTGGTTTATGGAACTTCTGTCCCAGATCCCTTCCTGGTTTAAGTTAAATCAGAGTCCCCCAGCATCCCAGCATGCTTTTCAGGCCTGGGCTGGGCTGGGCTGTCTGCTCCAGAGAGCAGGGCTGGCCCCACCCCTCTCCTCCCTAGCTGGAGCTCCAACTGGCTGAGAAGGAGTGGGGGTTGCAGCGTTTGCCAGGCTTCCCCTTGCCCCACCCTGCCCTCACCACTTGCTGCTCAAGTAGGGATCCTCCCTCCCACCCCTCTCCCATGGCAGAGACCCCAGTGGCATGGACCCTGGCAGGCATCTGGCCATGCCCCTCACCATGCTAGCTAATGCTGAGAGGGGTGTGTGTGTGTCTCCAATTTCATTGGAACAAAGGCAGATAGAACAGTGTTTGCTTAGGGCAAGAAGCCAGTGGCTTGCAAATGCACAGGCACCCTGAAGATAAAAAGAGCTTGAAACTAATGAGAGAGATGCGTTTGTTTTCTATTCTAGGGCTTGATGGGCTGAAAAGCTTTGAGTCCTGATAACCCCCATGCTGGCTTGCTTGCTACAGTCTGTGAGTGTTTCAAACCCTCAGTCTGTGAGTGTTTAAAAGGGAACAGAGAGAGGTGTGAGAAATGACTGGGTTTGCAATGAATGTGAACTGTGAGTGTTGCCAGTTTGCTGCAGACAGTATAAAGAAGCAGGGAGGAGAGGGACATTGAAAAACCCAGTATCATCAACAGATGCATGTAGCCCACACAAGCAGTACTCCCCTCATTTACCTCAGAGTGCTAGCCATGGGCTGGGGGCTGGCAACACTCCCCACCCCATAAGCAGCGAGCAGGGAAAAGCCTGACAAGGGCTGCTTCCCCCTCTCCCTCTCCCTCCCCCTCCCGGCACACACTGGCTGGGGGCTGTGCAGGCCAGGGTGGGGGTTTAAATCCCTACCTAATCATAGCGTCCTGATAGGGCCTGGCCATGCCCTCCCCCCCTCAGCTGAGCACTGTGGTAGGGAAGTGAGGGCTCGCTCTAACGCCCCTCGACTTCTAGCCTGAGCCACTGGAAGCATGTGTCTTCATTTTCTGAATAAAAAGTGAATGTCTATCTACTTGCAAATCAGTTCAATCTTTGCAAAGATTGAATCAATTCAGGCTTTGGCTTTTTGAATGCCTGTCCCTAGCCCATATGTCTAGATCTGCTTCTACTGTGAGATCGCTGAAATAGAAAACAATGGCACTGAGTTCATGTACACAGTATGCAGAAGATCAATTCTAATATGTGTTGGCAAACACTGCAAAGTCAAATAATAAAAAGAGCCAGTTTCAAAGATCTGGACAAAATCATTCCCCAGCATGGGGATATCAAAGAAATATCATAGGTGTGTTTGGGTGAAAGGACACTGCCCCACCATAGGAGACAGGGAAATGGCTTGCAAAACTCCTCAGACCTGGAGGGCTGTCAAGGCACAGAAGCATCTTTGTCTTCCCACTGGCTTTAGACTTCTTCTGGCTTTGCCCCCATTTCTGATAATGACTGCTCTAAAGCCTCTTTCTGTCTTTCTAAACTGGAGATGTAAAGTTAAAACAACACACCCAACTCTCACCAGTCTTATCAGTCCCCTGATATCATGAGCAATAAAATGCATTTATAAAGTATAAAGAAGAAAAGAAACATCCTCCCCCCCTCCCAAGCAAACAAAAGACATTCAATACTTTGGCTAACAGCCAGTGCCAATTTACTCAGGACTCTTAACTGTTTTCCCTAAGTATTTTAGTCCTCTACTGTGGTTGCATGTTTTCAAACATTGCTTATCTACATTATTTGCTTCTTACAAATGCACTCAGAAACTTGGCTACAGACAGAAATTACACATGAACCAGTATAAGTGATTGGAAACTGGCTTAAAAGTATAACAGAAGTTCAGTGCATATAAACCAGTTTCAAAATGGCTAAACCAGGTTTAAGATAGACTTGGATGGATGTAGTATCAGACAACTGATTTAGGTTAGACTGGTCTATCGAACTTCTGTCCCAGAGCTCCTCCTGACTCAAGTTACCTTGCAGTACCCCAGCATCTCAGGATGCTTTGTGCCTCCCCTGCTCCCCCCACCGGATGGACAGGCTAGCCTCTGCTGCTGGTCTCTGGCCAGCCAGCCAGCCAGCCCCACCCCTGGGCTGTCACAGAGCTGAAGCAGGAAAGCCTATGCTCCCCAGCCTGTGTCCTGCCTGCACCTGTCAGCCCTGCAGCCTGCATCCTGGGCCAGGGCAGGGAAAATCTCCTGAGGTGTGGAGCTCCTCTTCCATGGGCAGACTCCTGCTGCAGGGGCTGACACCAGCCCAGGAGACTGCTTCCCCCTTCCCACCTGCAGGGGCAGAGAAACAGAGCCGCCCAGCCCCAGCCCCCAGCCACAGGAAGCCCTGTGCCAAGGGCGATTCCCTCTCACCCCCTCCACCCAGTTGGCCTGCTGCTCAGCCCCGCCCCTGATGAACTGGCAGCTTGTTGGCTCTGAAAAACCTCATCCTAATGGCATAGTTAAATCCAAGCAATCATCCTCAGCAAACAAACTACATGTGATTCTGATGCAAAAAAAAAAAAATTAAACTACCCATGTTTGCTTGAAACTTGCATAGATCTTAGGGTTTTTTTGACAAATGTGTCCTGTGTTCATGTATGTAAGGAAAGCCAAACACAGGTAAGTGAGTATTCATGGTTTAATCTCAAATATTTTGTGTGGCTCTGAAATTCTCTCCTCCCAATCTATAATCTAAACCTCATCTTTGAAAAAAAACCCAAGCCTCATAATTTGGTTAATTTCTCTAGCAAAAGCCTGGGAAAAGTTAAAAACAACAAGAGCCTATAGTGAGAGCATGTGCACAGCTTAGGATCCAAAGCATTTTAATAAGCAACAGATAACTGCAACTTTCTTCCACATCCGTCATGCATCTCTGTATTTTCTCTTGTGAAGTAAGGATGGATGTAGAGGAAAAACCAAATTAATATAAGGCCTTTGGCCAACCTTTGTATTTATGGGCTATTTGCATCTTAAAATGCCCCAGTATGGGAAGACTTCATAACACAGGGCCAGCTGCTTTTATTTACATTGCCATCTGTAAGATATTAAGCACTACCTATTTTTCTACTGTCTTCTATTATCACACAGAAAAATAACAAAAGTTAGCCAGTTATTAAAATAATGTCACAGCAAGGCAAAGATCCATGGCTATTAAAGCTTTATGGCTAAGTACAGAGAGTCAAAAAGCCTGATGCAGAATCGATTCAGTCTTTGCTGGTTTCTCCAAGCTGCACAGACTGAACCAATAAGGAACTGAACTGATGTTCAGTTTTCAGTTGGGAAAGGTAGAGAAAGGCCTATACTGACCCAGTCCAGAAGATCAGGGATGCTAGAGCCCACCCATTGTGAGCCCAGCTGAGTGGGGACATCCCTGATTGACTGCTCAGCACACGCCCCCAACCCTATGCTGTCTCCCTGAAGGGGATTGAGCCCCCATGCTGTTACTTGTCAGCTCTGTATTCCTCAGCACAAACCTTGCTGGACTTACAAAGGACTTTTTCTATTCTGCCCCCCCATCTCATCTAACCAGAACCAAGCAGAAGAAAAGTTTAATAGGCATCTCAGGCTGTACATTCCCCAGTCCCAGTATGGGAGGCCTATTTAAACTTAATTGACTAAAACTTGGTTGCTGGGTTAGGGAATGCTGAGGCAAGAGACCGAGTCAGAGGGGGTATA